AAAAACAAACGTTTTCGAACCTCTTCTAGGTTCTTCCTCAGGTTCCTTTAGCTTTTTAGCTCGTAAATTCGATATTTCAAATAACTTCGTTCTTGCGATCGAACAGTTCTTTTTTAAAAGATGTGTCGCGCATGCCGTTCAAACTAACGACTGCCGTCAACGAAAGACATTAACGAATGTTGTTTAAATAATTTCTTTCTTAAGATCGAACATTTCTTTTAAATTATCCGTCACGCATGCGTGACATGTCCGCTTGCTCGGAAATAACGAGCAGTTAAAGCGTGTTATGTATCAACTCTTGCCAGGCCATCGACAAGATCATCTCCTCTTTAAAATTTATGCACGTGGTTTCGATAGAGGATTTAAAGATGTGCATCGCCTCTAACCACTTGAGATGTTCATTGGGAGGCGCACCGAGGAGGAGATTGGTCCTATTAAAGTCAGCAACTATGCCCGGGTCTGTTGCGTATGTAGCGAGGGCCGTGCTGGTTCTCCCGTGACGAATGTCTGCCTTATGCTCCTGTATTCTGACACCTATGGATCTTTTAGTAGAGCCTATATATATTAAGTCCCTGTCGAATCTGTTATCTCTCAAAGGGACACTATAGACCCCCGGTCTTCTGCTGGGGTTAGGAGGGTCCTTCCCATTCCTTAGGATGTTAAAAATAGTAGGGCACCTCCTGTAAGCAATACTGATTTGGCGCTTCTTGGCGATCTTGTCATATATAAATCTTACATATAGGTTAAAGGTGACGGGTATACGTTCTATGTCTTCCGGAACCTCCCTTCTATCAACGCGCCGGTCCACCAGCCGTTCTTTATCTGCATACATCCGGCTATAACTTTTTATCATCTTACGTATGGCTGTGCGATACTCATGTTCCGCGGCTACTCGCATTATATATGTTAGCTCTTTATCACGAGCCTGTACGTTAGAAGAATGTGTGAAGGCTCTTCTGATTAAGGCTTTATATGCCGCCGTCTTGTAGGATACCGGATCACATGATCCTATCGGGATGTACGAGGACATAGATCCTGGTTTACACCGCAGTGCTGATGCCCTCTTTCTCTAACCTAATATTTATGTCTAGGAAATGTACTTCAGTAATGTCAGATTGTTCTAATTCTAGCATCAACCCGTATGGGTTATTATTAAAAGCGTCTACCAATGCTGTTATATCCGGCACATTTTTCCAAACAATAATAATGTCATCAATATATCTCCTATAAAGTTCGATGTTATGGAGGAATTGTGGGAGGATTTTTTTCTCCAACTGCCGGACTACCATCTCACATAGGTCCCCTGAAACCGGGCTTCCCATGGGGACCCCTCTGCCCTGTGTGTAGACCTCACCATTGAATTGGAACACAGAATTATAACATATCAAATGTGCCATTTCAAGTACTTGGTTGTGTAACGCGTTATCCCCGACTATACTAAACAAAATGTCCCTTAGCGCACAGAAAGCGGGAGGGAGCTCAATGGATGGGTATAGGGACCTAAAGTCCAAAACTGTTACGTACTGGTATGATGTGATCTCTTTCAATTGTGTTAGGAGCTCCACCGGGCTAGCGATACTGTACTGGTAGCCTTCCAATTGTGGGGCGAGAATAGTATGTACAGCTTTCTCTAACTTCTGTGTAGACGCCCTTGCCTTGTCCACGACTGGGCGGAGTTGCTGGCCCGGTTTATGTGTTTTTGCGAAAGCAAATAATTTAGGGACGTCAGGGGAGTCAACCACTAAGTTACCAAGTGCCAAGCGTTTAGCGAGACCGGACCCGGCGAACCGTTTCACTCTTGAATGCAGCTTATCAATAAAACCCTCGTCAGCCTTATCGCAATGGGTAAGTGTTAAGTATTCCTGTAGGCCTCTTTCATAGGTGTCACGCTTCATGAGAACCATGGATTTAGTTTTGTCGGCCCTGACAAGAGTGATGTTGTTAAGTTTCATCCAATGCACCGTACGTCGTAGCTTGTCTCTTAGATCCGTTATCTCAGATGTTTCCTTAGAATTCTTGAATTTTAACGTGGCCATCCAGCAATAATATTCTTTTTGTCTGTCCGATAGCCCTCGTAGTAGAATTTCCAGATCAGGAATAAGGCTTCTTGAGAGATAATAGATGCGACAGGGACTTAACCCATATGTAAGATCTATATATGACAAGATCGCCAAATCAGTATTGCTTACAGGAGGTGCCCTACTATTTTTAACATCCTAAGGAATGGGAAGGACCCTCCTAACCCCAGCAGAAGACCGGGGGTCTATAGTGTCCCTTTGAGAGATAACAGATTCGACAGGGACTTAATATATATAGGCTCTACTAAAAGATCCATAGGTGTCAGAATACAGGAGCATAAGGCAGACATTCGTCACGGGAGAACCAGCACGGCCCTCGCTACATACGCAACAGACCCGGGCATAGTTGCTGACTTTAATAGGACCAATCTCCTCCTCGGTGCGCCTCCCAATGAACATCTCAAGTGGTTAGAGGCGATGCACATCTTTAAATCCTCTAT